TGTTTTAAGAAAATCCAAAGGCCTTTAATCTGAGGCAGCCCCGGCGTCCCGTTGGGCACACAGAATTTATGTCCTGTCTACAGTCTTATGCACAGGCCCAGCGTGCGACAGCACATTCATGTTTAGCTTGTTGTCCACGAGGACTCCAAGATCTTTTTCACACATACTGCTCTCGAGCCAGGCATTGTTCCGCATTCCTTTATCACCCACCCCAAACTGCAAAACCCTGGCAGCAAGAGTGGAATCCTAGGGCTCTAATCATGTTTTATGAAAGGACCTGAGGTTTTCCGAACTAGGACATGGTTAATCAAACAGTGTTCCTTCAGTTCCAAGTTTGGAGAGTGTCCCTTTAAGCAGGGCCAATCCAAAAAGGATAGATACTCCTCAACTATGCAGGTGCGGATTTCCAGGTACAGACACCCATTGAGAAATAGATAGCAATCAATCCTTCCAATCTATATATATAAAAATTCTCTATGCATAATGAGTACCTTAAAAACAAAAGAACCAATGAACGAAATCACACCAAATTTGGCAACAAAGCATCTCACTACACAAGGAGTGACCATCACTCAAAAAATTATGATTTTGCCATTTGGGAATTGTAGTTGCTGGGATTTATAGTTCACCTACAATCAAAGAGCATTCTGGACTCCACCAAGGATGGAATTGAACCAAACTTGGCACACAGAACTCCCATGACCAACAGAAAATACTGGAAGGGTTTGCTGGGCATTGACCTTGAGTTTGGGAGTTGTAGTTCCCCTACATCCAGAGAGCACTGTGGACTCAAACAACGATGGATCTGGACCAAACTTGGCACGAATACTCAACACACCCAAATATGAACACAGATGGAGTTTGGGGGAAATAGACCTTGACATTTAGGAGTTGTAGTCACTGGGATTCACAGTTCACCTACAATCAAAGAGCATTCTGAACGCCACCAACGATAGAATTGGGGCAAACTTCCCATACAGAACCCCCATGACCAACAGAAAATACTTAAGGCCATCCAATCCAACTCCCTTCACCAGGGCAACAAAACGTAATCAAAGCCCTCCCGACAAAGAGCCATCCAGCCATAGATACACATAGATAGATAGAGATAGATAGATATGATTCACACACACACAGATATAGTATCATAGATTTGAAGGGGACCCCTAAAGAAGGACAATTATATGTCACATGTTCAGAATAAGCAAACCAGACAATCTCCACATCAACACTGAGAAAAAAACAGCAAGGAATACTGTTTACCCACAAGCATAAAGAAATTATATATATTATAAACCAACACTTTCTCATTACTTTATTTTCCAGATCAACAGACTGGGCCACAGCAACGCGTGGCAGGGGGCAGCTAGTGTAGTCTAAATACCCTAAAGGCGCCAGAAGCTAAGAAGGGCCAGGCATGGGCAAACTTCAGCCCTCCAAGTGTTGTGGACTTCAACTCCCACAATTCCTAACAGCCTACCGACTGCTAGGAATTGTGGGAGCTGAAGTTCAAAACACCTGGAGGGCTGAAGTTGGCCCAGGTTTGAGTTAGGAGATGGGTAAGAGATGACCAACGACATTAAAACTGCATTATATGTCAGTGTAGATGGGCCCTTGGATACCCGAGTTCAACCCCTCCTTGGCCAGGGAAACCCACTGGATGGTCAAAGGCAAGTGGTACTCTCTTGGCCTCAAAGAAGGGAACAGCAAGCCCTCTCTAGAGCAGTGGTTCTCAACGTTCCTAATGCCGCGACCCCTTAATACAGTTCCTCATGTTGTGGTGACCCCCAGCCATTAAATTACTTTCGTTGCTACTTCATAATTGTAATTTTGCTACTGGTATGAACTGTTATGTAAATATCTGATATGCAGGATGTATTCTCATTCACTGGACCAAATTTGGCACAAATACCCAATATGCCCAAATTTGAATACTGGTGGAGTTGGGATGGGAGGATTGGTGGGAGGATGGGAGGATGGGATTTTGTGGGCATTGACCTTGAGTTTGGGAGTTGTAGTTCAGCTACATCCAGAGAGCACTGTGGGCTCAAACAATGATGGGTCTGTACCAAACTTGGCACAAATACTCAATATGCCCAAATATGTGCACTGGTGAAGTTTGGGGGAAATAGACCTTGACATGGGGGAGTTGAAGTTGCTGGGATTTATAGTTCACCTACATTCAAAGAGCATTCTGAACTACACTAACAATGGACTTGAACCAAACTTGGCACACAGAACTCTCATGACCAACAGAAAATGCTGGAAGGGTTTGGTGGGCATTGACCTTGGGTTTTAGAGTTGTAGTTCGCCTACATCCAGAGAGCACTGTGGAATCTAACAACAATAGATCTGGACCAAACTTGGCACAAATATACAGTATGCCCAAATGTGAACACTGGCAAGTTTGGTTCAATTGGGAGTTGTAGTTGCTGGGATTTATAGTTCGCCTACAACCAAAGAGCATTCTGAACTCCACCAATGATGGAATTGAATCAAACTTAGCACATAGAACTTCCATGACCAACAAAAGTAACTGGAGGGGGTTGGTGGGCATTGACCTTGGGTTTTAGAGTTGTAGTTCGCCTACATCCAGAGAGCACTGTGGACTCAAACAATGATGGATCTGGATCAAACTTTGCACGAATACTCAATATGCCCAAATGTGAACACTGGTGAAGTTCAGGGGAAATAGACCTTGACATTGGGGAGTTGTAGTTGCTGGGATTTATAGTTCACCTACTACCAAAGAGCATTCTGAAGCCCACCAATGATAGAATCAGGCCAAACTTCCCACACAGAACTCCCATGACCAACAGAAAATACTGTCTGTGATGGTCTTTGGCGACCCCTCTGGCACCCCCTCGCGACCCCTTCAGGGGTCCCAACCCCCAGGTTGAGAACCACTGCTCTAGAGAAATGTTGCCTATGAAAGGTTTGCTTTAGGGTCTCCATAAATTAGGAATGATTTCAAGGCACACAACAACCACAACCACAACGAAATAAGTGACCTGAGGTTGAGGGAAAGGTGGGATCCAAATAAACAGAAGAGGAAGAGGAAGGATAAAAGGAAGGGGAAGAATACGAATGAAAGAAGATTAAAAGTGGGAGGAGGAGAAAGAGAGAGAGACAGAAAAGAAGGAGGAGGAGGAGGAGGAGCCACTGCCGAAGCTGCCTTTGATAATCTCTGTGTTTCTCAACTTTCCTAGTGCCGCATCCCCATAATACAGGTCCTCATGTTGTGGTGACCCCTGACCATAATCTTATTTTCGTTGCTACTTCATAACTGTCATTTTGCTGCTGTTAGGAATCGTCATGTAAATATCTGATTTGCAGGATGTCTTTTCATTCACTGGACCAAATTTAGCACAAATACCTCATACGCCCAAATTTGAATACTAGTGAGGTGGGGGGGGGGGGGGGGGGGGGGGGGGGGAGATTGATATCGTTACTTGGGCGTTGTAGTTGCTGGAATTTATAGTTCACCTACAATAAAAGAGCATTCTGAACTCCACCAATGATGGAATTGGACCAAACTTGGCATACAGAATTCCCATGACCAAGAGAAAATACTGGAAGGGTTTGGTGGGCATTGACCTTGATTTTTGGAGTTATAGATCACCCACATCCAGAGAACACTATGGACTCAAACAATGATTAATCTGGACCAAACTTGGCCCAAATACTCAATATGCCCAAATGTGAACACTAGTAGAGTTTGGGGAAAATAGACACTGACATTTAGGAGTTGTAGTTTTTGGGATTTATAGTTCACAAACTTCAATCAAAGAGCATTCTGAACCCCACCAACAACAGAATTGAGCCAAACTTCCCACACAGACAGTCGGCCCTAGGTAATTTTCAACAGTAAGCAAACAGTATTTTGGTGCCCCCCCCCCCCCCAACCAATCACTGATATATATTTTCTGTTCGTCATGGGAGTTCTGTGTGCCATATTTGGTTCAGTGCCATCATTGGTGGAGTTCAGAATGCTCTTTGATTGTAGGGTGAATTATACATCCCAGTAACTACAACTCACATATGTCGAGGTCTGTTTTCCCCCAAGAACGCCTCAAGAGCGCCCCTGGGCAAAATCAACTACACTGTAAATGCTTACTTTGCGTAATGGGTTGAGCCATCCCTGCACACAGAACCCCTATGACAAACAGAAAATACTATGTTTTCTGATGTTTTTGGCAACACGTCTGACACCCCCTCACAACCCTCCAGCAGTCCCAACCTCCAGGTTGAGAAACGCTAACCTAGTGATTTTCCATGGCCAAGAGGAAGAAAAAAAGGAGGAAGGGAAGAAGAAAGATGAGGGAAGAGGAGGAGAAGGCAGAAAAAGAGGTGGAAGATCAAGAAGAAGAAGAACAAGAACAAGTATGAAGAAGAGGAGGAAGAGAAGAAGAAAGGGAAAGAGAAGAGGAGGAGGAAAATTAATAAATGCAACTTAAGATCAATTCCAAACAAACAGACAAAGCTTCTGAATGTAATAGCCATAGACATATTACATTAAGAGCACCGTTACAAAAATCAAAACCACTTGAAACATGCTCTCATAGAATCATAGAATCATAGAATCAAAGAGTTGGAAGAGACCTCATGGGCCATCCAGTCCAACCCCCTGCCAAGAAGCAGGAATATTGCATTCAAAGCACCCCTGACAGATGGCCATCCAGCCTCTGTTTAAAAGCTTTCAAAGAAGGAGCCTCCACCACACTCCGGGGCAGAGAGTTCCACTGCTGAATGGCTCTCATAGTCAGGAAGTTCTTCCTCCTTGTCAACAATCTTGCGACACTTCCTTGGTTCATAGACAGGATCCAAGTAATGAATGCTCCAAAACCAGTCATCATCATAATAAAAAATAATCCAATGATAAGCATTCTCAGCATCTTCCTTCCAAACAAACCCACTTCCCGCTTTAGCATCCTGTGATGGGATGCCTCTGCCTTCCTCTCTGAGCTTTCCTTTCTGTCCTCAACAGCAGATCTACTCACGTCATATTTCTCTCCCAGTTTCAGGTGCGGAGTCCTTCTCCAGCGTCGCCTGGCACACTTGGAAGGTGGACAGAGAAGCAAAAGTAGCATGAGACCCAAAATCATCCCTAAAGACTTGGGGCGGATGTGCTGTTTGCCCTCCATTCCAGCTCCTTGCAGCCAAATGCTGCCTCTTCTCACACCATGAGAAAGTGAGAGGCAGAAAAGAAAAGAATCCAAAGGGTGGAGGATGAGCCAGGCAATGGATTTCTTAGGAGGGAAAAAAGAGGTTGGTCGCTTTGGTCCAGCTCCAAGGAGAAACACCAACCCGCTCTTCAAAACATTGCCAAAGTATGACGGGCTTGGGGACCAAAAAGGGTTTCTTCTTTGGTGTCGTCCCAGAAGTTTCTTGTTCTCAGAGGACTCGAACCCTCAGCTCTTGTCACTTGGGCAGCTTTGCCACCCTGGAAAGAGAGATGGAAAGATTATTTTTAGACCTTTGTTTCAACATCTGGCACTCCGAGAGAGAGATTGAAAGACAGAGAGAGGGGGGGGGGGTTCCCTAGACTTCTAGTCCAGAGAGGGCCCACGACAGCTGCTGAAAAGGGGGAAGGGGAGACGCTGAAACATCCATATATTTTTTCAAAGCAGTCTCCAAGGAATAGGAAGGGCAAGCTTGGACAAGAAGCCTTTCCACGCTTCCTTCCCAAGGCAAAATTCCTCTGCAAAACAGCTGTCCTCCTTGCTACCTACTTTTTTATAATCTGAGACCTAGATTGAGTCTTAGGCTACGACTCTTAAGTACCTGGGTTTGAGTCTTTCCTCAGAAAGCCTTGGGCAAGCCATACTCTCTCAGCCTCAGAGGAAGGCAAAGGCAGACCTTGCCAAGAGAAGCCTGTGATGGCACCATCTTATTGCCACCACAGTTTGGAAACGACTTGAAAGCACACAAGAATGACCCACCGAGCACAGTTTATCCACAGCTACCCAGTTTGCAAAGCCTAGAGAAGACAATTATGCTGGGGAAAATGGAAGGTAAAAGGAAGAGGGGCCGACCAAGGGCAAGATGGATGGATGGCATCTTTGAAGTGACTGGACTGACCTTGAAGGAGCTGGGGGTGGTGACGGCCGACAGGGAGCTCTGGCGTGGGCTGGTCCATGAGGTCACGAAGAGTCGGAGACGACTGAACGAATGAACAACAACACCCAGTTTGCCTTCCATTTCCTCCTCTTCCAGCAAAAAACTCTAAGTTTTATTTCTGATGAAAAGAGTCCTGCTGAAGCGTGCCATCCTCCCTTGTTTGTATTCACGCAGCGGCACATTGCATGAGTTAAGCCATGTGTCTCCTATTAAGGAGGCATTCTCATAAAGCCCAAAAGTGCCTGGATGGCTAAATGAGCACGGAGACATTTGCACGCGCGAAGCCCAAAGTCTGCAGGAAAGACCAGCTGTCTAATTGTTTGCTTAACTGTTTCCACAACTAGTTTTGCTCCAGTGGTGTTGGGCAACAAAGTACATCATGCCCTGGTAGTATCAGAATGATGGGACTTGTAATACAGCAAGTTGGATTCATAGAATCATAGAATCAAAGAGTTGGAAGAGACCTCGTGGGCCATCCAGTCCAATCCCATTCTGCCAAGAAGCAGGAATATTGCATTCAAATCACCCCTGACAGATGGCCATCCAGCCTCTGTTTAAAAGCTTCCAAAGAAGGAGCCTCCACCACACTCCGGGGCAGAGAGTTCCACTGCTGAACAGCTCTCACAGTCAGGAAGTTCTTCCTCATGTTCAGATGGAATCTCCTTTCTTGTAGTTTGAAGCCATTGTTCCGCGTCCTAGTCTCCAAGGAAGCAGAAAACAAGCTTGCTCCCTCCTCCCTGTGGCTTCCTCTCACATATTAATACGTGGCTATCATATCTCCTCTCAGCCTTCTCTTCTTCAGGCTAAACATGCCCAGCTCCTTAAGCCGCTCCTCATAGGGCTTGTTCACCAGACCCTTGATCATTTTAGTCGCCCTCCTCTGGACACATTCCAGCTTGTCAATGTGTTTGAACAAGCTGACCGGTAGAGTTTGGAAGAAAGTCTTCAAATGAAATTATTGTTTGTGATTGGCCTCTTGGCTTCGTTTTAATTGCAGGATAAAAATTATGACTGATATGTCAGGAAGTTTGGGTACTTTGGGATTTCTTGCAATGCGCATGTTAAATTGTTCGAATGGGTACACAGAAACCAAGCATTTGTCCATCAAGGGAAAATCTACACCTGTTGGAAGAGACCTTCTGCAGCTCTGTAACACAGGGATTCTCAGTTTTGGGTTCTCCAGTTGGTTTGGACTCAAAATCCCTGACCACTCTATGAGTGGGAGACTCAAGCATTAGGAGGGTCAAATGTGGAGAACCTCTGGCACATGGAGAACCTCTATTGTTGATTGTCGTCAAATTGTTTCCAGCTTATGGTGACCCTAAGGCAGGGCTTTCTGGTTGTGCGAATCAGCCAAAGTCATGACAAACAGTGACTTTAGGCAATGGAATTTGCAAACTGGAATGGAACTCAGACAACATATGGCCTAACTCAACATTACATTCCCCAATGCAAGATGCAACCATCACATCCCTTTCCAGTTGCCACATTTTTTAATCTAGTGATTTTCCATGGCTAAAAGGTTGGGTTTTCTAGGGTTGAGAAGATGTAAGTCAGCCAAGGACACTAAGTGGGTTTCCATGGCCACTTGGACTATAACACTGGTCTCCAGTGTTATAGTCCAACACTCAAAGAAGTACAAATTGCTCTACCCAAGGAGAAGAAAGAGGAGGAGGAGGGAATAATTAGTGAATCAGGAAACTAGTGGATAGGAGAAAGAGAAAGAGAAAGAGGAGGAGGAGGAGGGATGCAATTTTCCTGCTTCTTGGTAGAGGGTTGGACTGGATGGCCCACGAGGTCTCTTCCAGCTCTATGATTCTATGATTCTATGAGGAGAAGGAAAAGATGGAGAAAGAAAGAAAGAAAGAAAGAAAGAAAGAAAGAAAGAAAGAAAGAAAGAGAAGAAAGAAAAGAAGAGGAAGAGAGGAGGAGGAAATTAGTGAACCTGGAAATTAGTGGGAAAGAGAAGAGGAAGAGGAGGAGGAGCAAAAGAAGAAGAAAGAGAAAGAATGAGAAGGAGAAGAGGATGAGAGGAGGAGGAAATTACTGAACTAAGAAATTAGTAGGAAGGAGAAGGAGAAAGGGATGAGGAAGGGAAGAGGAGGAGGAAGAAGATGGCGAGGAGGAGGAGGAAAATAGTGAATCAGGAAATTAGCGGGAAGGACAAGGAGAGGGGGAAAAGAAGAGGAGAAAGAATGAAAAGGAGAAGAGGAAGAGAGGAGGAGGAAATTAGTGAACCAAGAAATTAGTGAGTAAGAGAAGGAGAAAGAGAAGAGGAAAAGAAGAAGAGGAGGTGGAAGACAACGAGGAAAATAGTGAATCAGGAAAATAGTGGGAAGGAGACGGAGAGAAGGAAGAGAAGAGGAGGAGGAAATTAGTGAACCAGGACATTAGTGAGAAAGAGAAAGAGAAGAGGAGGAGGAGGAAGACGATGAGGAGGAAAATAGTGAATCAGGAAATTAGTGAGTAAGAGAAGGAGAAAGAGAATCATAGAATCATAGAATCAAAGAGTTGGAAGAGACCTCATGGGCCATCCAGTCCAACCCCATTCTGCCAAGAAGCAGGAATATTGCATTCAAATCACCCTTGACAGATGGCCATCCAGCCCCTGTTTAAAAGCTTCCATAGAAGGAGCCTCCACCACACTCCGGGGCAGAGAGTTCCACTGCTGAACGGCTCTCACAGTCAGGAAGTTCTTCCTCATGTTCAGATGGAATCTCCTCTCTTGTAGTTTGAAGCCATTGTTCCGCCTCCTAGTCTCCAAGGAAGCAGAAAACAAGCTTGCTCCCTCCTCCCTGTGGCTTCCTCTCACATATTTATACATGGCTATCATATCTCCTCTCAGCCTTCTCTTCTTCAGGCTAAACATGCCCAGCTCCTTAAGCCGCTCCTCATAGGGCTTGTTCTCCAGACCCTTGATCATTTTAGTCGCCCTCTTCTGGACACATTCCAGCTTGTCAATATCTCTCTTCAATTGTGGTGCCCAGAATTGGACACAATATTCCAGGTGTGGTCTAACCAACAGGCTGCTCTGTGGACAGCTGGCTTTGCCTTCTGTGGTGAAGAGGAAGAGAAGAGGAGGAGGAAGACAACAAGGAGAAAAATAGTGAATTAGAATATTAGTGGGAAGGAGGAGGAGAGGAGGAAGAGGAAAAAGGAGGAGGAAATTAGTGAACCAAGAAAATAGTGAGTAAACACAGAGGGGGAAATCCACATCACAGAGTTGAAGGCTTTAATCACAGGATCCAAAGGACTCATCCAAGAAGAAGCCTGTCCCTCTTTCGACCTGGCGTTGCCACCTGGAAGCAGCCATACACCACAGAAGGCAAAGCCAGCTGTCCACAGAGCAGCCTGTTGGAGGGTATAGAGGAGTCTTGATTCTGGCCACATGTACAGCCAACAGGAGGAGGATGTTGGACCTTGCAGTCCAAAAAGGGCCCCTTTCCAAGCTCTGGTCTGCCGCTGTCATCCAGCATGAGACAAATGGCTTTTAAGCGGTCACTCCCAAGGAGCAGGAGAGGTCATTGCTCATGCTGGACATGGTTTGGGGGCCATGCCATGAACCCAAAGTGTAGGCAAGCAACGGCAGCACCACAGGACGCCTGCTATTGTCGGAAACACACAACGTCACTAGACTCATTCACCCATAATGGGAGACAAAAGGCTTTCTCTCGGATTTCTTTGGTGGGCATCAAAGTTCCTGAGGCCGCATTGAGCAAGACTGTGGAAAGAAAGGAGCTGTTATTCCCTTTCTTGTCTTATTCCCTGCCGTGGCATCATTGCAAGCTGTGCAGCACAAAACTTTTCCGTTCTCATTGCTCTCTTAAGTTATTGTTCTGTGGAAGTTTGGGAAGTGTTTAGTCTGGAGAGGGCTTCCAAGTGCCATTCCAACCCTGAATACGATGCCTTGTGAAATCCCAACTTCCATAAACTCATAGCATTGAGCCATAGCAGTCAAAGCAGTATAGATGTTGGGTTGTTGTAGGTTTTTCCGGGCTATATGGCCATGTTCTGGAGGCAATTTTTCTCCTGACGTTTCGCCTGCATCTATGGCAAGCATCCTTTGGAAGTGCCTGGGGGGAATCTTTTGTTGAGAGTGATTTTATGTGCCTGTTTGTTTCCCCTCTGTTGTTTTGCTGTTGTAATTTTTGAGTTTTTTAATACTGGTAGCCAGATTTTGTTCATTTTCATGGTTTCTTCCTTTCTGTTGAAATTGTCCACATGCTTGTGGATTTCAATGGCTTCTCTGTGTAGTCTGACATGGTGGTTGAGAGTGGCCCAGCATTTCTGTGTTCTCAAATAATATGCTGTGTCCAGGTTGGTTCATCAGGTGCTCTGCTATGGCTGACTTCTCTGGTTGAAGTAGTCTGCAGTGCCTTTCATGTTCCTTGATGCGTGTTTGGGCAAT